TTTTTTTATTTATTTTTGGGACAGAGAGAGACAGAGCATGAATGGGGGAGGGGCAGAGAGAGAGGGAGACACAGAATCGGAAACAGGCTCCAGGCTCTGAGCCATCAGCCCAGAGCCCGACGCGGGGCTCGAACCCACGGACCGCGAGATCGTGACCTGGCTGAAGTCGGACGCTTAACTGACTGCGCCACCCAGGCGCCCCAATTATGAGGTTTAAATGAAATAGCATGCAAGATGTTTAAGGCACAAACTGGTATACGATCAATAAATAGTTCTTAACTAACTTGTTAGTTCTTAACTACCTTAGTATTAAATGAGATTAAAAGGAATTAAAGTATTTCTGAGAAAAGACTTTAGGGAACTAGAATAGGTAGAACAGTCTGATAAATAGGGGTTGAATTGTGCCTTGAAGAATAAACGTAGTCACAAAGGGAAATCATAAACAAAGGCATCAATGGCAAGGAAAAATAAAGAACTTAAAAAGAAATCAACACAAAATAGGATTGAAAAGTCAGCTACCACAAAGAGGTATGAAAAAGTGTTAAGTTACACTCAGAGCTGTAATTCCAGAATTCAAATCTAAGAGGCTCTCAGTCATGCATGATAGATAGCCTGGAGCGCAAATCTGAAGGGGCAAGAAGGAAGACCCTATTGATAGAAACCAGCAAGGAAGCTATTGGTGTTAAGTCAGAGGTTCCCAAACCATCTGAATCATTAACGGGCTGATAATTAATGGATCCCAGGGCTAGACCCCAGGCCTACTGAATCAATCTATATATGTGAGGATGGAGTCAACAAAGGAAGCTAGAATCTACATTTTTTTCAAAAAGTGACTCAGATGATCAGCAACTAGGTTGGAGAACTAATGGTCAAAGGCCAAAACTAGTCCTTGTGAGAATAGAGAATAAAAGTTGAGAAATGAGAGTCATTACAGACTTCATAATGATAGAAGTTAAAGGTGACACTGAGCTTTAAGTTTGAGAGACTTAAAAGATAGTTACAGCATTAAGTAAAAATGTAGGAAACATAAGACAACTGGATTTAGGGGAAAATATGATTTGGTCAAATGTGAACATACTAAATTTGAGACGCTGAAGAGCTGACTAGATAGAAATGACCAGCAGACAATAGCAAAGGTAGAAGTGATAACTCAGTTGAAGAAATGCAACACAAATAAATGTAAACCACAGTTTACATAAGCATTAGAAATAAGCATGCTTTCAAAATTAATTAAACTATGGATTAAATGTATGTAATATTTTAGTATAATAAGATATAAAATCTTAAACATTCTCAACTATTCCCCAAACTGCAATGTAAGAATCTAGGCACCTTAAGTCATAGACTCATTTTTATTTGCTTAGGTCTTCTCAAATACCATAATGTGAGCAAAACAGATGTTGTCCTAAATATATGAAAATATACAGCTTTATCACTATATTTGAGTCCCATATAATTCATTCCTTACATAAAATACTAACATTCCAACTAAAATTCTTCGATTAGCATTTTAAAAAGTTTCTATCACAAAAAGTATTATATTTGATATCCTTATTAAATACCACTATTTTAGTGCTTTTATTAAGTTAGCACTTCTACAGAAAATCAGGCTTCAGACAAAAAATTGGTTTCAATCAGAAGAGGATGAACAACTTGATTCCGAGACTTCTTCTGTAGTTCCATCTTTCTCTATTTAAATAATTTCATTATATCAAACACAAGTATAGAAAATCCTCAAATTACAAACCAGCAGGGAGCCAAAACTTCGCTTTTTGAGTCTGTGTAGAATTTAAAACACCTTTTGGGGCCCCTGGGTGACTCAGTCAATTAAGCATCTAACTCTTGATTTTGGCCCAGGTCATGATCTCATGGTTTGTGAGACCAAGCCCCGTGTAGGGTTCTGCGCTGACAGAACAGAGCCTGCTTGGGGTTCTCTCCTTCTCTCACGTGCTCTCTTTCTCTCTCAAAATAAATAAATATTTAAAAAATAAAACATCTTTCTCCATAAATGTAACGATTAAATGGTATGCAATAGCTAGGTTCCTATAATAGACATAAACACAAAGCCGAGCACTATAAAGGCAAGTCTAGAGAACCGAAAGACTGCATACATCATTTCATAAGAAACTATGAAGTGTTCTCCTACAGCTTCGACATGAGAATGTATTCTCTCTCCAGTTTTAAGTTTCCTAGTATAAACAAACTGAGGGTTGATGGGGGGTGGGAGGGAAGGGAGGGTGGGTGATGGGTATTGGGGAGGGCACCTTTTGGGATGAGCACTGGGTGTTGTATGGAAACCAATTTGACAATAAATTTCATATATTGAAAAAATAAAAAATAAAAAAATAGTTTCCTAGTGTAATTCCTAAAGCCTGAGAACAGGATAAAAGAGGAGCAAGAGGTGAGGAACCACTATTTCCTGATAATAAAACATTCCTTAGTCCTTCTGAGAGCCCTACTTCTCTTTCCAATACCACTACTCTAGCTTCCAAAGGTTTCTTTTGCAAAATTTCACAGGACTGCTTCAGAGTTTTACCCATTATTACCAAAATGAGCATAAAATTATGCTTCCCACATTACCTGGGAACTTCTTTCTTTTTACTAGAAATAATCACAGCAAGCAAAAAGGAGGGTAAAAGAGGTGATGAAAAAGATAAAAGATCTGGAGTCAAGATCTTGGACTGAGATCTTTGCTCAGTCACTTAACTGGTACTTTACTTCTTTGGGTTTCACTTCTACTTCCTCACCTATAAAATAGGATTAACAATAAATATGTACTTCAAGGCTTATGTAGAACAATGAGAGAAAATGTGAAGTGTCTAGTCTCACAAAGTAGAAACTCAACAATTCACCCAATCTCGTTTTCACTGATATCAGCAGTCCTCCAACTTTATTTTGACTTCACACCATTTACACTTAATCTCAGAACATCATTCAGTAACCACTGTATTAGCATATCAAGTAGGTGCTATAGACACAGGCAAAAGACACAAAATGCTTTGAAATTCACCTGCATTTCAAAGGAACACCTCAAAAGTCTCTTTATCAGCAGCAAGTTAAGGTATGGGAAGGGTGCAGAGAGACCAAAAAGTGACGGACAGGGGGAGTTCTGAGATGAGGAAAGAGGTCTGGTGATGTTTTTGACGGCACTGAGGCTGAAGGAATGATTCAAGGGAAGGGAGACAAACCAGCTCCAGTCCCCCCACAACCACCACCACCCATCACTGACCTACACTTGGACCCTGCCTGGAGCAGGGAGAGAAGCTCTAGGTAGCTATAAAAGGCAGAAAAGGGGAGCTGCCATCAGAATGTGAATAGCACCCTGAGTTCTATGCAGGGTTTGCAGTTTTCAACCAATAGAATATGCCCAGGAAGGTAAATAACACAAAATTTAAAGATGTTGAATGAACATCCATTTCCTTTTCTCATCTACTTCTCCTAGGATGACTATATATTAAAATTTTAAATACCAAGTTCCTAAAGAATTCCAAATTTGAAACAATAGTTTTTGTTTAGTCTGTGAACATTTGTTAACTGGTGTCCTGTGCCCAGTATACAGAAATAGTAACACATAATAAAGTACAGCCCAAGTTTTAATTTGGTTCCTCTTCTGCAGAAATCTGCAGGAAATAAGATTCAACCAAGAGGGCTGACTGCCTCCCTCCACTTGCAACTAACTCTTCCACCTTTATATGGAAATCAGCCTCTTAGACAGGTTCAGATACAGTACTTGGAGGTCACCCTCAGTTGCCCCTCCCCTCCACTCTCCATCACCAAGTTCCCTGAAATCTTCCTAAATCTTAAATCCATTCCTTCCTCTCCATCTTCAAAATAGCACCAATATCAAAAGAACAGGTACATCACTTTGGACAAGTGCATTTGTTTCCTATAACTGGTCTCCTGGTCTAGTCTTGACTTTCTCTAACACAGTGTTACACAAACTACAATGGACTTTTTTTTAACAAAATACATACAACATAAGAATGCATCATATATAATAGGTATTATTTCATGAAACATGTTTGTAATAAATATGGCATATTTACTCAGTTCATAGATTTCCTACTGTTTGTACCAGGTGAAATTTATACAGCAGACTGCAGTCAGAGAAGTCCAAAGGCCACTAAGGCCATCTTTTCTAAAATACTAACCAAATGTTATCTCCCTTCTTAAAAGCTTTTTAGTGGCCCTCCATTAACCACAGAATAAAGTCTAAACTTCTTGAAATAGCACTAAAGTTTGTCCGTAACAAGCTCTGCCCCTCTTCTTGGACTCATCTCCTGTCACTCATGTCATCCTGTGCTCCAGTCCTACCACTTTTGCACATGCCATTCCCTCTGCCTATTTAATTCTTTCTCTCCTTGATCTACACAGTAAATCCGCTTATCCTTCAATATTTAGTTCAGGTGTACTCCCCACTGCCTCTAAGTCCTGAGAAAACTAAGTTTATATCATTCACCTGAAGACTGCCTGATCTCTGTCCAGTTGACCAACGCATCACTGTTGACCAATGCATCCTTTTTGAAATGCTCTCTTCCCTGCAGGACACAACAAAAGCCAAGATTTTCTCCTACTTTTCTGGGTACTTCTCTTCAGTCTACTCTTAAATGATGGTGTTCCTAAAGTTTCTGTCCTAGGTCGCCTTTATTTTCTCTACATGCTGTATATGATCTCATCTACTTCCATAGCACCGATCACCACGTTTATACCAATAATCCCCAAATCTGTATTTCCAGCAAGATATATTTCTTATGAGATACAAAATACATATCCCATTCTCTCTGAATCCATCCACTTCTCCCCTTTCCTACTGCCCACAACCAAGTATAAACCATCATTATCTCCCACCTACACTAACTCCTTTAGTCTTGGGCCTGCGGTTCTGCTCCCTTTCAATACATGCTTCATTTTCTACACATCAGCCAGAGACCTTTAAAAAAGAAAGAAAAAAGGTGTGTGTGTGTGTGTGTGTGTGTAAACATGCATGCGCACGCATGTGTGTAAAGTCACTCCCCTACTAAAAACCCATTAAAAGCTTCGGGTTGCCCTCAGAGATAAAACCTTTAGCATTCAAAACCCTTAGCATTACCTGTATGTCCCAGTATGATCTGATCTTTGCCTACCTCTCTGCAGCCCTCTCACTACTCTCCCCTGTTGACAGTATGCATCAGCTATACTTCAGGAACGCTCCCTTACTTCCTCTTTTTAAGCTAACTCTTCAACATTCTTCACTCCTCAAAATAAGCATTTCATCTTCTGGGAGATTATCTTTGATCCCACAGACTGGATTAAGTACTTCTGACTCTTGGGGTGCCTGGGTGGCTCAGTTGGTTAAGCATCTGACTTCGGCTCAGGTCATGATCTCGTGGTTCATGGGTTCCAGCCCTGTACCCGGCTCTGTGCTGACAGCTCAGAGCCTGGAACCTGCCTTGGGTTCTGTCTCTCCCTCTCTCTCTCTCTCTGGCCCTCCCTCGAGCTCTCTCTCTCTCTCAAAAATTAACATTTTTTGAAAAGTACTTTTGGGGCGCCTGGGTGGCGCAGTCGGTTAAGCGTCCGACTTCAGCCAGGTCACGATCTCGCGGTCCGTGAGTTCGAGCCCCGCGTCAGGCTCTGGGCTGATGGCTCGGAGCCTGGAGCCTGTTTCCGATTCTGTGTCTCCCTCTCTCTCTGCCCCTCCCCCGTTCATGCTCTGTCTCTCTCTGTCCCAAAAATAAATAAAAAACGTTGAAAAAAAATTAAAAAAAAAATAAAAAATAAAAGTACTTTTGATTCCTAACCCTAACCATATGTCCCTCACCTGTCAGCACAACCATTACCTCTTGTTACCCGGACTTCTTACAGAATTGTCTATCTCTACTGATGGATTTTAGGATCTGAAGACAGGCCAAGTTCAACAATGTATGCCAGAGACAAGTACAATGCCAGGTAATACTAACTGCCCTGAACCCCGGGGTGAATCAAGAGAAACTGTGACCTTCTTTGCAGCTTTCTTTCCATCTAGAGGTTGAAGCTTCACATACACAATTAGACCTCCTTAACAAGGCAATTTCTCAGTCAAACCCGAGGAAAGCAAACAGGTGGAGTCTACTACCATTTTCGGCCTTGAGTGACTGCTCATCAGGGTTTCTCACCCCACCAATGCAAGTGGGAAAATGTGGCCGCAGTCCCCCACTAAGCGGCCTTAGTGACTCGGCAAGAGGGCCTCAGAGTAGTGCACACAAGACCAGAAAGGGGACGACTGGAGTTCCTGGGTCCTCAGAGACCAAGAAAAGGTTTGGGCCAAAGGGAAGGACAAAGATCTTTATTTCCCCACGTACCAAGCGAGGTGGCGCTGCCTCTGTGCGGTCCCGCCCGCCCCGGGACGCAGCCTGACGAGGACGGTGGGACCCTGAACTGCACGGGAGCGTCCTTGGGATCGAGAACGCGCCTCTGCCTGCCGGGGAAACTCCGGGCGTCCGAGGCGGCCGGCGGAGAAGTTGCAGCGGTGCCCCAGCGGGGTCGCTTGGTGCAGGGCTCACAGCCGGGGCCCGCACTCATGCTTGGGACCCGCAGCGCACAGTCCCCGGGCCGGCCCGGGCGGAGAGCCTCATTCACTAACCCTGAGAGGGACGGACTGCGCCTCCTCCTCGGCGCCTCCCGGCACCATTCCCTCTCTGCCGCTGCCTGCTTCTGCAGTTGCTGCTCCGCTGGCCTCCCGAGCCAAGCCCTAGCCAGTCGCCTGCCTTCCCTTTCCACAGGCACCCCCACCTGCCACAGGACGCGCCGCTTTGATTCTGGCTTGGTTCACTTTCCCACCACCGGAAGGCGGCCGTCAGGCGCTTCCGACTTCCGGGACGTACAGTTGTCGCAAAGCGGAAGTGCAAGGATTAGCGAGTACCGGCTCCCGGAAGGTCACCGTGTGAAGGAGGCAGTGGTAACGCGGGTCTCCCCGCTGTGACTGGGGAGCAACGGCCCAGCAGAAGAACCCAGCCTCAGGTGGCGGGGAAGAGCAGACGGGCGGTTTGCTGCAACATCATGGAGAGCGGCGGGGGAAGCGGGAACAAAACTACAGGGGGGTTGGCCGGCTTTTTCGGAGCCGGTGGGGCAGGTTACTCGCACGCGGATCTGGCCGGCGTCCCGCGTGAGTATCGGGCCTAGGTTGTGAACATTTCTCAGCGGTTCTTGCGACTCCGCCAGATGTGTAGCGTGTACTGTTCCTTTTTGGGGGCTGACGTTCACAATCTTAGTACCAGTGGTGGGGTTAGTGTGTTTGCGCTGCCTCTTTCAAGATTGAACCAGTTTTTGGAGCCACGGATCCCCGAGAAGTTCCGTTTGGGTGACCTGGACTCAGGAGATGTTGCATGTTCTTTTTATATCCAAGCACGGTGCCTCATTTTTCCTCCCGCACATTCCTTGTGCGTTGGTCTGTGTGCTTGGCTCTAGATTAAGAGGAGAGCCCAGCTCTGCAAGTAAATGCATTCCAAACAACGAGTCTGTAAATAACTTTTCAAACACAAAGTTCTGTGTTTCGAAACCACACAGTAGCCGTCAGGGCAAAACATTTAATAGTGCGAATAGCCAAGAAAGAAACGGGAGTCGAGCCTGCGGGAGGAGCTGAGAAGCGAGCTGCGCTTTAAAAGTCACTTACGGACTTGAAGAAAAAAAGTTAAGAATTTTAGGAAAGGAAATATGCAAGATCGAAAGTGTAGAAGCATGAATGTCCTACCTGTGCCCTTTCAATCCTGTGAATATGTATTCCAGATGTCTGTGACTTTGTGGGTGTTCAAATGGATGAACAGAACTTGTTCTGATTCTCCAGGTACTTTATGCTCAAGAACAAAAGAGCCCAGTGTCACCTTTCCCAAAACTGAATCTGGAACGCATTTTACACATACGTCTTCGGAGGTCTGAGTTTTGGAGCACAGAGGGCACTACCTTAATGTGACCAAGCATTGTTACGTTAATTTGATTAAGATTTGAAGGTAAATTGAGAAATGGAGGGATGAACACCATTCACTGAGCACCTGGGATCAACCAACGACTTTTCTGGATAGAGGACTACCAACAGTTAGATGACTGCTGCGTTCAGTGAACTGAGCCAAGTAACACAAATAAACACATTTCAGTTATATGTATAAGTGTACATAAAGCCATCAAAACCGGGTCATGAGATAGTGATGGGAGCAGGATGCTATTTAAGAGTGGGTCAGAGAATGCAACTAGAGGATGTTGACATTTGAGCTGTGACCTGAATATAGTATAGATCGGAGGTGAGGCAGGTGTACAAGGGAAAATAGTCCAAATGCCCTGAGAAAAAACAAAGTTGGCATGTTTAAGGAACAAATGATGGGCCAGTGTGTCTATAGAGTTGCAAGGGAGTTGGAGTAGTAGGAGATAATGAGGTGAGGAGGGCAAGGAATGACCACTAATGCAGTGTTTTGTAAACCGTGGTAGGAAGGTTGGATTTGATTACAAGTGTGAATGGAAGCCATTAAGGCTGATTTCCTTTTCTTAAAAAAATCACTTTAGTTGCTATATAGGAAGTAAATTGAAGGGATTAGAGCAAGTGAGGAGTCCATTTAAGTAGGAGATTGTTACAGTAGTCTAGGTGAGCTTTAATGGTTGGACTAAGATGGTAGCAATAAGGATGGTGGTAAGTAACGAAGTTCAAGATATTGAACATAGAATTCATACTGATGAGAAGACTTGAGTATTTCATAGATTGTGAGCAGTCAACTGAGGTGCACAGGATTCAAGGATTAAATTTAAAATATGAGAAAGCTGATTGACATATTTTTCTGTCATCAAAGTTAGTGGGATTCGAGTGTGGCTGTCTGTAAGTTTCCATTTTCTTTTGTTATGACCCCCATGCCTATGGTGATAACCCGAGAACCCTCTACGCTGCCACAGCAAATCTACTGTGTCAGCGGCTGTCAATACTGCTGAAGGAACTGCCTTAAAATATTTATATACAGCACATAACCCAAGCACTGTTTTTCTCATGGAATTGATTGGTCTCTTGTCAGTCTTATTTTGCAATTTGTATAGATGTCAAGCATCCTTGTAGCAAAGTAGAGAGAAATTAGCTTTATAATTGACCTTGGCTATGCTTCCTGCTACTTTGATTATTTAATCCACATTATTGCCAATATCTTCTTGGTATGACAGCCTGAACTCATACCATTTTCCTAGTGTAAGGCATGGTTTGGTATTCAGGACCTCAGGAGGAGGCAGCCTGAAAACTGTCAGACAGGATGAGCATAGAAAAGGAGAAATTTTCATATTCAAGTGAGCCTATAAATCAAAATTGGAAAACGAAACAGTGTAATTAACACTAAATGAAATAACTTTTTAGAATTTCATTGCAATATGCTTTGTTTTCTCTCTAGTGACTGGTATGAACCCTCTGTCTCCTTATTTAAATGTGGATCCACGTTATCTCGTACAGGTAAGATTAAGACTAGTCCTTTTATGAATTTACTAGTTTGGTGTGTTATCTTACTGTTTAAAAAAAAAAGTTTCTTACGCTAACTAGATCTACGATACATACTTCTGGAGGCACCAACTCTGGTCTCCATCCACCTTTTTTCTTTGTTCTGAAACTCTGGGGATTTGGCTTGCATCTCCCTGATACTATCCCTTTAAAGGGTTTTTGAGGTTCAAGGTGTGTTTTTTCTCCCTATTTAAACATTTGTAAAGTATACTAACATAAACTTTACCATCTGACCCATTTTTAAGTGTACTGTTCAATGTTAACCAAATGCATTTATAAGATTAGGCAACAATTACCACCTACCATATACATAACCCGTTTCATCATGTAAAACAAACTATGCCTGTTAAAAAAATAACTTCATTCCACCCTCCCTCCCACCCATCCCATGGAAACTACCCTTCTGCTTTCTGTTTTTGATACTCTAAGTACCTCAAATAAGTGGAATCGTACTGTATTTGTCTTTTGTGATTGGATTATTTCATTTAACATAATGTTCTCAAGTTTCATCTATATTATTATGTCAGAATTTCTCCTTTTTTAGGCTGGATAATATTTAATTGAATAATATTCCATTTTGCTTATCCATTCGTCTGTTCCTGGACACTTGGATGGCTTCTGTATTTTAGCTACTGTTGATGTGAACATTACACTAATGTGTACAAATGTCTTTTCCTAACTCTCCTTTTAATTCTTTTAGTTACATATCCAGATGTAAAATCGCTGGATCTTGGGGAAATTTTATTATTTTCTGAGGAATTGCAGCTATACCATTTTACATTTCACTGGATCTCATAAATTTTGATATGTCGTTTTCTTTTTTATTCATCTCTTAAGTAAAGGGTGTGTTATTTAATTTCCATGAATTTGTAAATTTTTCAGTTTTCTTTCTGTTACTGATTTCTAACTCCTACTGTTGTGGCTGGAGAGGATACTCTCTATGATATCTTTTAAAATCTTTTGAAACTTAATTTGTGTCCTTACATGATCTATCTTGGAAGATGTCCCACATGCACTTGAGACGTATATCTGTGCTATTATTGTTCGGCAGAGTGTTTTGTATATGTCTGTTAGATCTGTTTGCTGTTTGATTTATTGTGTTAAGTCCTTATTTTCTTACTACCTTCTGTCTGGTTATAATGTTTGCTATCCATTATTGAAAATAGATTATTGAAGTTTCCAGTTCTTAGTGTAGAAATTTCTATTTCTACCTTTAATTCCATCATTTTATATTTCATGTATTTTAATGGTCTCTTACTAGATATGTTTAGAATTTAATCTTTTTACTGCATTGAAACTTCTTAATATTTTTATGACCTTTTATTATTATGTAAAATCTATATTTTCTGATACTCATATGTTCACCCTGTTCTCTTTTGGTTATTATTTGCATGGAATAATCTTTTTCTGTCATTTCACTTTGAACCTCTTTGTTTTTGGAACTAAAGTAAACCTCAGTGTAGTTGGATCATGGTATTTTTATCCATTGTGCTGATCTTATGACCTTTGTTTACAGAGTTTGATCCATTTATATTTAAAGCGATTACTGGAGCCACCTGGGTGACTCAGTCTGTTGAGCATCCAACTCTTGATATCAGCTCAGGTCATGATCTCAGGGTAATTGGATCAAGCCCCATGTCAGCCTCCTCGCTGAACGCAGAGCCTGCTTGGTATTCTCTCTCTCTCTCTCTCTCTCTCTCTGCCCCTCACATGCACGCGCTTTCTCAAAATAAATAAATAAAAACTTCTAAACAATAAATTAGGCATTGATTTCTTAGACATGACACCAAAAGAATAAGTTATTAAAAACAACTGATAGGGGCGCCTGGGTGGCGCAGTCGGTTAAGCGTCCCACTTCAGCCAGGTCACGATCTCACGGTCCGTGAGTTCGAGCCCCGCGTCAGGCTCTGGGCTGATGGCTCGGAGCCTGGAGCCTGTGTCCGATTCTGTGTCTCCCTCTCTCTCTGCCCCTCCCCCGTTCATGCTCTGTCTCTCTCTGTCCCAAAAATAAATAAAAAAAAAAACAAAAAACAAAAAACTGATAAATTGGTTTTAATAAAAATTT